CGCGTTCATCGAGGAAGGGCTGTCAACGAGCCGGATTCGCCCCTCCAAGTCTCCGATGGCGTCTCCGGTCTTCTTTGTCAAAAAGAAGGATGGCGGACTCCGCTTTGTCCAGGACTATCGGCCCTCAACGCGATGACCGTCAAAAACCGGTACCCCCTTCCGCTGATCAACGACCTCATCAACCGGCTCAAAGGCGCTCGCTACTTCACCAAACTCGACGTTCGTTGGGGCTTCAACAACGTCCGGATCAAAGAAGGTGACGAGTGGAAGGCAGCTTTCCGGACTAACCGAGGCCTGTTCGAGCCCTTGGTGATGTATTTCGGCCTGACAAACTCTCCCGCGACGTTCCAAACGATGATGAATGACATTTTCCAGGATCTCATCCTCTCCGGAGACGTCATGATCCACCTGGACAACATCCTGATCGCCCATTCCGACCTCCGGAAACACCGACAGATCGTCCAGGAAGTCTTGTGCCGACTCCGAGAGCATAAGCTGTACCTCCGAGCAGAGAAGTGCGACTTCGAAAAACCGTCAATCGAATACCTCGGAGTCATCATCTCCCACAACCACGTTGAAATGGACCCCGTCAAGGTCGCAGGCGTCTCCGCTTGGCCGACTCCGGAAAACCACAAGGATGTTCAGCAGTTCCTTGGGTTTGCTAATTTCTACCGCAGGTTCATTCGGGACTTCTCAGCCCTCGCGCGTCCTCTCTTTGCGCTCACCAAGAAGGACCAGCAATGGACTTGGGGCGACGCGGAGGCCTCGGCGTTCCAAGCGATCAAGGACGCGGTCACCTCGGAACCGGCAGCTCATATAGCTGTATCTATGCAAAAGATATGGGCAGTGTCCCAGGGGGGTAATGCAAAAGATGAGGGCAACTGCCCAAGAATAAAATGAAATAATATTCTTTGACTGTTTTTGCCTGCTATATCAAGGTATCAGTGATGGGATCAATGGCATATAGGTATGTTGATCAATGTGGAACAATCTTTGATTGCCATCAGAGCTTTTGATGACTATATCTTGCCACATCAACCTTACTTAATCGATTCTTAATTTTTTGGTCCCTGGGCTTATAAGTCCCAAATATTACATTGCGACTCATCGGCCCGAAGAAATAGTGATTTCTCTTACTATATATATTTTTGTATTAGTCATATCTCTTGATTCCACTGAGAAATTCATGAAATACATCTGTCTTAACATCTTTTGCATTAGAGCCTTGGGACAGTGCCCATATCTTTTGCATAGATACAGCTATATGTACTGGAACTGGTTTTGGCGATTCCGGACGACGCACGGCCTTTCCGACTCGAGGCGGACAGCTCTGATTATGCGACGGGGGCGGTTCTTTCACAATCCGCCCCGGACGGGAAGTGGCACCCTGTAGCATTCTATTCCAAAAGCTTAAATGATGTCCAGCGCAACTACGAAATCCACGACAAGGAGATGCTCGCGATCATCCGCGCACTCGAGGAGTATAGACACTTCCTCGAGGGTGCTGCGCATCCCATCGAGATTTGGACTGACCATAAGAATTTGGAGTACTTCAGGAAGACGCAGCACCTCAACCGGAGACAGGCCCGCTGATCCCTCTACCTCTCCCGGTTCGACTTCACACTGCATCACAAGCCCGGCCGCGACATGGGCCGACCTGACGCCCTCTCTCGGAGACCCGACCACGGAATCGATTCCGACAACTCCGACGTCGTCCTCCTGCGGCCCGAACTCTTCCACGTCCGCGCACTCGAGGGTGTTTCCGTTTCCGGTCCCGGTTCCGAACTTCTTCGCGACATCCGTGATGCCCTCTCCGGTGAGCCTGACTTGGGAGGAGCCCGTCGCACTAGCGGCCCGGCAACTCCTAAAGGTCCAAGGTCAAGCTCGAGGCCCCCGCTCGTCACGCTCCGACGAGTGGGCCGTCTCCGGTGGTCTTCTTCACTTTCGTGGGAAGATTGTCGTACCCAAGGACAAGGACCTCCGGAGGCGTATCATCGAGCTCTGCCATGACACTCGAGTCGCTGGACACGCTGGTCGCTTCAAGACCTTGGAGTTGGTCTCCCGGAACTACTGGTGGCCTCAGATGTCTCGCCATATCGGCCGGTACGTCGCGACCTGCGACTTGTGCTGTCGCACCAAGGCGCTCCGGAGACTGCCCCACGGAGAGCTACACCTGACGGAAACGCCCCCGGAGTGCTGGTATACCGTCTCCGTTGACTTCATCGTCGAGCTCCCCGAGGCCCATGGGTACGACGCGATCATGGTCGTCGTGGACACCCTCGGGAAGCGAGCCCACTTCTCCGAGTGTCATACCACGGTCGACGCAGTAGGAGCAGCCCGCCTCTACTACCGGAATGTCTGGCGCCATCACGGGACTCCGGAGAAGTACGTCTCCGACCGTGGCTCACAGTTCATCGCGGACTTCACCCGAGAACTCTGGCGTCTAATTGGCATCAAGCCAGCCACGTCCACCGCGTATCATCCGCAGACGGACGGTCAGACAGAGCGCGTCAACCAGGAGTTGGAGCAATACCTGCGGATCTTCACCAACTATCAGCAGGACGACTGGGATGAGCTGATTCCAGCCGCGGAGTTCGCTTACAACAACCACGTTCACTCCTCCACGCAGCAAGTCCCCTTCATGACGGACACGGGACAGCTTCCGCGCATGGGCTTCGAACCCGGAGTCCGTTCCGCTATGGAGTCCGTGAACGAGTTCCGCAACCGGATCGCCACTGGGGTTGCTGAAGCCAAGGCCGCGCTCACCAAGGCCAAAGAGGAGTATAAGCGCTACTACGACCGGAGACGCACACCGTCTCCGGAGTTTAAGGTTGGCGACCGTGTTTGGCTGGATGCCTCTGACATCAGGACGACTCGCCCCTCGGAGAAGTTCTCCCACCGCCGCCTCGGACCGTTCAAGATAGTCGTGGAGATCAGCAAAGGGGCCTACAAGCTCGACCTCCCTCCGCGTTACTCGAAGCTCCACCCGGTCTTCCCCGTCGTCAAGCTTGAGCTCGCCCAAGACGACCCCTTCGACGGACGCCCCGGCTACGACCAGCCCCCTCCGGACCTCGAGGACGGAGTCCCGGAGTGGGAAGTAGAGGAAATCTTGGACGCAAGGGTGAGGTATAAATGGCTGAATTACTTCGTCAGATGGAAAGGCTACGATGCGTCGCATGACCAGTGGGTCCGCTTCGACCGCGTCTTCGCCCCAGAGAAAATCGCAGAGTTCTACCGTAAGTACCCTGGCAAACCACGGCACATCGCCTCCGCAACCTTCGACTCGATTCCGTTCCGGTCTATGCGTCGGGACGCCGCATTCAAAGGGGGGGGGTGATGTCAGGGGAACCTCCCTTTCGGCCCCTCGGACACGTCTCCGATTCCGGTCCGATTCCGGTCCGATTCCGGTTCCGTCTCCAGTCCGGCCCTCCATCTCGCCCGCGCAATCACCGATCCGTCAATGCCCCCCCAACGGTCGCCTGGGGACCTTGCCTGCGACGCCGCCCAAGCCTTCTGTGCCCGACAGCGGCAGCTACGGACAAGCAGTATATAGTCAGCTTCCTAGCAAGCGGACCCTTAGAGTTTCTTCTCTTTGGATCCTCCCCTGGATATTATATTATATTCATATCATAGTTGCATACTTAGAAGAATATTATATTTGTAGTATATTATATGCATGGTTCCTCTGAGATATTCAATATAATATGAATATATTCAAATATAATTTAGTGATATCGAATGTGAATTTCAAGAAGTTATCATCATCTGCCAAACTTGCCTTTAGGCCATTTCTTAGTAATGATACTAATTGATACTGTTTTTGTTGGGCAGACATCCTGATCTCCTCAGAAACTGACACATACTATGTGGGTCATGTCCTCAGTGGCTCCCCACCCTCTGTATTATATGCTTGAGGCAAAAGAATGTTGTAGTATTTTTGTTTAATCTTATGGGCTGGTGACCTTGCTTGATGACTGAGGCTTGAGCTGGCTTAACTCTGGCTCTCAGTTAAGATGCCCTGTGTTTAAGTCTTGCTAGTTGCAGTATTTTCCTCAGACTCTACAGCCATGTAGTTCTGATGATACAACTTCGTCTGTGACTGGAAATGTCATAAGTGACTAATGACCCGTGGGTAAATCTATACCTGTATCCCCAGGTACAGGTATGCATAAAAGCCTCAGATACCCAGGGGGTTTACCTGTGCAGTTGCCTAGAAGCCAATTTGGGACCTTTCAATATTTATTCAAAGATATTTATTTATGGCCAGCACTACTGGTAAATTACAGTCCGTTGCAGTGGTGGCCTTAGGGTTTTAGACTCTTCACAGATAGGATATAACTTTCATATAAGTTTGTTTTTCCAACATGAGCACCCAAGAATTAAGTCATTAGCCACTGGATCTGAGAATAATATGCTAATGAGTGTTGATCCACAACTGGCTGGACACCACAACCGTTGAACCAGTAAATACTCTGTTCACATAGCCCTAATCAACTTTCAAATCAGTCTATTAACTACTGAATACTGTGTTCATATCACAACACTGACAATCATAGAAATAAATTTCCTTCTTTTGGGATATTAGGTGCTAAATAAGTGGACCTAAATTAGGGCCCTAACCCTAAATAGGCCCTGAACCATCCAAAAGGTTGATTTAGGGCCCCTAAGGCCATCACTGCGGGCCCCAGTTGTGGGGTTGATTAGGTGTATTTGCCTCAAAATGGTTATTTGCTATTTTTAGTTGTTTTCATCTTGATTCTTTGGCCTCCGTGCCCTCGACTTTTCTGAATTTATTCAGCTATTTCCATCCATTTTGGAGTACATTTTTGGAAGCAGTTAAAGTTACTTGGCTCATTTGGTCATCCGCAGAAGGGCGATCAAAAAAGGAGGGGAAACAGTGACGTTGCGTACAGACAAGGAATTCACAACAAGCTATCCACAACAAGTACCGTTACAGTACAACAGATTATCCGCAAGAAAAAAAAACACATCACAAACACCTACTTCACCTTCCCTTCGCCTTCGGCCAACAACACGGGCTCCTTTGGCGGCTCACCCATATGCTGGCGGACGACGCTTGCGCTCAGCAGCTTGGCGTACTTGGGCTGCACGAACAGCGCGTCGGCCTCCACGAGCACAGTCCCGTCCAGCGTCTCGACCGTGCCCTTCACCGCCGCCTTGCGTCCGGTCTGGGAGACGAGCGACGTGCGGATGACGACGAACTGGTCCGCGCGCGTTGGGGCACGGTAGCGCAGCCCGAGGTGCGCCGTGACGCCAATCTGGGCGGGCAGGTTGATGATAGCCTGTCAAAAGAAGTGAGATTGGCGAGAACATGTGGCGCGATGGATGGACGAGAAGCTCGGGGATCGCCCGGAAGCAAATTGGCTCCGCCCGGGCGACATCGGCAATGAGCGAGCAAAACGTGGAGTGGGCAACTGAAGAAGGAAGACGCACGTTTCGTCCCAGCGATTCATCCAACAATGTCGCAAGCATTCCGCCATGCACGATGCCGTCGTGCCCACACAGTCCGCGGCCAAGATGGACGAATATCAGGGCCTCGCTCTCGTCCTTCTTCACGCGCGCGAGCGGGAGCAGTGCGAGGCGCCCCGGGCCGGCGAGTGCGCCGCTCGTGAGCTTGTTCGCACGGATCTCCGGTGGGATGGCCGCGTGTGGGCGGGTTTCGTACCATTCCGCAGCATCTTCACGGGCCCGATGTGCAGTCAAGAACGGTAACGACTGGAGTTCGTCTTCTAGGGCGGCGGTATAAGCGATGGAGGCCGGTGAGGCGGGGTCGGGCGGTGGTGGTGCTGGGCGGGGGGAGGATAAGGGATACAGGGGTGGGGGGAAAGAGCGCTCCGAGGGCATAGGCAGACAGAGAAACGCCCGTGGCGAGAGACAACGTCGTCAGGGTGCTCAGCGAGCGTCTTTTCGCGGGGTCGGGTGTTGGCGCTGAGTATTCCCGCCGACCTACGTGGCGAACGGTGAGGGTGGCGGTGCGCGCTGCCATGCGGGCGAGGGTCATGAGCATCGTGGGGGTCGTGAAGCAAGAGCAGAGGCCCCACGCCAGACGCCCACAGATGCCTCGCTTAGCCGGCGAGATGAGATGCGCAGAGAAGAAGCGATGTCACGCGGTCACAGACTCACGTCATTACGTCGGCTGAATGGGTACCCGCCGCCGGCGTCTGGTCCCCATACGGCAGGTCCGGTCCGCACAGACGCACCCGCCGTCCGTTGCAAGGAAACGGGGGAACGTGGTTGGAACGTGCCGCGAGAAAAGCACAATTGTTTACGCCTAATTCTACTACCGAATTCAAGTTCTCGATAAGGGACTAAGTACTACTTATCTTTGACTTATCTTGTTACTTGCTTGTCACTCGTGAATATGTCTATAGAAAACCTTTGCGGATCGCGGATTATGAGCTGTCTGTGCAGTGCGGCTTTGTCCAAGCCAGACCGAAGAACGGAGTTTGAACTGAGATCCGCTGAAGGCCGGGGCACCGAAACCAAGGGGGGTTCAAGATCCGAATCACGAATATAGGGTCGGAAAGTTTTTTTCCGACCCTCTGGGGACCCCCCCCCCTCCCCCCTCCTGCCATATAGGGTAATATGTTCCCACGATTAGCATCATGTGACCACTGATGCGATCAAAAATTGGTATAAAAAATTTAATCTTTGTGAAACTTTTTTTTTTCAAAAAAATTTATGTATCTGTATCTGTATCTGTGTAGGTATCTATATACCTGGAACCCTCAAATGCATATGGCAGGCAATATCACTGTTCAATATGTTCACCTCTCATCAATTACCTGATGATGGGCCTGTGATAGGGTGTACTATCCAGGCTCATGGGCCTGAAAGTATATAGATATAAGTATGGGGGTTATGAACTATAGAAATGAGAGTGTATACACTATATTTTCAGTGTGTTTATACCCATATAAGGCCCAAATCTTTTATATACAAAAAGTTTTTTTTACCCCCCAGGGACCCCCCCCCTCCCCCCTACCCCATGTGCCTGATAAGGATCTTGAACCCCCCTTGACCGAAACGACAGCTGTGACTGTGTAAACGGCGGTGGGAGACGGGAACTTGGAGTCGGCTCAAGCTCGGAGGCGGACGCCGATTCGATGAGTGATTGGTCGGTTGTGCCAGCCACCAGTGCGGCAGAGATACTCCGATATTCAAAAGTTAGCGTTGTAAGACCAGTCGGAAGGATGGAGGGGAACGTCATAAGAAAATCTCGCATCTGGCAATGACATCAGGCGAAGCATTGGGAATATAAACTCAGACACCACCTCGAGCCACTGCGTAGCTTCCATGCTCTCTCCAGTAAACGTCATTGACACGAGGAATTCCAGATTGTCGAGGGCAGGAAAGAACGTCAAGACTGCGGCCCATCCGGGGCCAGAGCCGTCGCGTATATGGACGGCAAGCGTTGTGATCGAGCGGGGCACCGGGCCCTCGACATAGTGCAGCGCCCACAGCATTGCATGCATCTCGCACTCGTCGATGCGGAGGGTCACTATGCTAGTGCCGGATATAGCGTCTGTCAGGCTTCCGCAACCAGTTTGCACCGCGCGCAGGGCTCGGAAGCCTCTCGCATGTATATTTAAGTGCCACCCTGATGGTGTGATCATCGCAAGAACGGTCTGGGGCGTTAATTCGGGCCCGCTGGCCACTCCGGTCGCAGTGAGTGCTGTAACACTTGGAAAGACATGGCGCAGAACGGCCCAGCTAGGGCGGGAAAGCTGCCAGGGCAAGTCCAGCACAAGGGTCTTGACACGCGGCAGCACCGCTGGAATGGTGGAGGGCCACTGCTCCGGCTGTGTTCCCAGGACCCACGTCACCTGCTTCAATGTGTCTGGGTTGAGGAGGGATAGCCACAGCCAGAAGTCTCGCCCATTTGCAGGACTCGATATCGTCAGTGTAGACACACAAATGCGGATAGGGCTGCGGAGCACCATAGGGAATATGAAAGGATCAAAGGGGAGAGGAAGCGTTGGGAAGCAGCACCGTATGAGATTTAGTGTGAGTGGCCCCTCAAGACGGGTGAGCTGAAGCAGTGCTGGGGCGGTGAATAGCAGACGCTCCGCAATCAGGCTGCGAAGGTGGACGAAGTTGCCCAGTAAATCAAAGAGCCGATCACGCAGAACGTGCGCCATGCGTCCTGCGCAGAATGGAGTTTCGTGCAAGCGACACTCCATCATCATTGTCCAGTCCAACTTCTCCAGCGTCGTGTCTTCGTGGTCTCCGATGATGTGCAGCACATGGACGAATTGACAAATATCGGGGGAGGCGTAAAACCGAAGCTTTTCGATGAAGTATTTGGCGTTGGCAATTGTGGGGAGTCCAAATTTCCTCGTGCAGGTGCGAGATAGCGCAGAAGGCCGCAGATGAAGCCTGCGGTAGAGGAACGGTCGCACCAATAAGTGAAACCGTGCGATGGACCCTAGGTCAATGCGCGGCACACCCTTGAGGATCTCGCAGTACAGCTCATTGGGGAACATGGTGGTCCAGGAGCAAGAGACAATCGACAGCCACCACGAGGCGTCACGTCTGTGATGGCGCACGTGTACTCCGCCAATCGGCGGCGGGCGGCAAGCATTCCTGTCACACCACACGCCACTTGGGATTTGAGAGCCATTGATTCAGAATGTTGAAGGCAGAAAATTCAAGGTTCTGTTCTTTAGTCCCATAACTGAACTGAACAATATTATTGCAGGAAAAAAAAATTGAACCGGTGATCATGAGGGCAGTGCACCAGTTGTACCTAGAGCTGTCCACAATTATATTATGCTAGAATATATTTTGAATATATTCAAATAAATATGATTATATTATGCCCTCTGCATATTCAGATATTCAATGGGTCTGTATCAGTGATTATGAATATGAATATATTATGAATATAATATATTATACCCTGGCCATAATTGATTATATTCGAATATACCAGCAAGCCCTTCAGCCAGAAGTACTAGCTCAGCTCGTACTTCTGGCTTCTAGCTCTGTAGTAAGCTACTAGCAGCAGTGGCAACATTTTCAAATCCAGTCTTTGCAATATCAATGGCTCTTGTCAGACAGGACAACATCCGCATCCAGCCCTGACAGAAGGCTGCAGTTGACCTTTACATTGTTGTCCCGGACTTTGATGACACTCTTGGCTGCTGAAGGTATCATGATTAACCTAAACCAGAGGACTGACTCAGGTTGATGCTATCAGGTCACATGACTGTGTGCATTATCTTCCAAACATGGCAATGCCATGTCACAGTCACGGTCAGTGGGTCCCCTGGCAGGCCTTGAACAAAAAGTCCAACCTATGTTCTTTTTTTTTTTTTTTCTGGCACCCATCTTAATCAATTTGGCAGTCACATGCAACAGCGACAAACACCAAATTCACCTGGTAAATGAACCATTTTCGGCTAGAAAATTACGGTGCGGCCTTAGCCCGTAATATGTCAAAAATTTTCGGCGGTCACACTTGGAGGCCTTGGATGCTGAAAATTTCAATTTGGCGCTGATGTCACACACATTTTGGGCGCCGAATTGATTAAAATGGTACAGGATTCAACCCCTCCTTAGTTATATAGTATACTCTAGCAAGGAAAATATGTTATAAATATGAATAAATTATGAAAATTTTGTATTCATAATTATAATTGAGCAGCACTAGTTGTACCTTATCTATGGTGTCCTACATGATCACTGGTAGGGTTGTTATATAATATGGAACCGCGAGCGCGGGAATGCTTGCTTCCGAATCCAAGTAGCATAGAATAGTTGCAAATGTTAATAAATTGTTGTATCTACGACTGAAGTCATCTAAACAATACTGCAGATTTCTTCCGCCCAGATTCTGTACACGCAAATGATCGAACTGCTCAACAAACATGATCTCAGTCAATGATTTCACTCTCGACAGACCCACAAAAGTCAAGCCCACTGCAAACTCTCGTATTCCGAGGCCTAACCTGATTTTGGGCAGTGTGAGACCTTGAGATTTGTGTACAGTGACTGCCCAAGAACTTCACGCATGGTATCCTTGGTCATGTACAGGCATGCAGTGTCGTTGAATTCGGCTTGTTGTTGTGGCGTAAGGGATGATCGGGAGCGTGTTTGGAGGAGTTTCCACTCTTCAACACTCAAATTCCCTCTAGATGCATTGTGGAGCAGGAGATGGAAGCATTGCTGCTCCATGGATTCTCCGTTTTGTTGATGTACAACATGAAGTCGGAATGAGCAGGTAAACAACTGGTATAGGTAGCTGCCTTTGCGAGCCATCAATGCCTTGTCTGAATCATCTATCGCCGGTGGGCAATAGAGTGCCGTGTCCTTCACTGGTGGAAGTTGCGCAGAGTTGCCTACCAAACTTAGATGGAAACCTCCGAAAGCTTCATCAGCATGCTCAGGGAGAATTTGGCGAAGGCGGGAGTCAATTTGTTTAAGTACACGAAGTTTAAGTATAGACTTCTTGTCGATGATGATGAAATGAACACCTTGCCATTGCTCTTGAAGTGTTGCCAAGTGTGAGCCAGTCAAGGGAAGGAAGGCGGAATTGACGGGCAGGTCCAGAGCAGAGTGGATGGTGCGGCCGTGAATGTTGAAGGCGGCTACTCCTGATGATGCCAGTACTTGAATGGGGTTGGGCTTGTTGTTTGAAGTTGCCATCCGTCTCAACTCTTGACAGATGGCATGAATGAGGTATGTCTTACCGCACCCAGCTGTCCCATCGATATTGAGTAAACATGGAAAAAGAATTTCGCTGTTAAGAATCCGAGAGTATTTCGTGGTATAGAGGTCAAAGATTTCCCATTGCTCATCTGCCAATGTGTCGATATTGATTGGTTGAGGTGTATGATTTGGAACGGCACCCGCTTCTCGACACTGTTCATCAAGATACTTGGTCATTTTATCGATGAGCAGTATGCACACTCCAAGCTGCGTCTACAGGACGAGTCCCAAGGTTGTCAACGCCAAAATGCGGGATTTCCACATTGGGATGATTGCGTGCGAAGATCTGCCAGTCCTCCTCAGTCATCGCTTCAATGTCCGGATTCACCTCTTCATCGTCGTCATCATCTTCTGGTTCTGTGCTCTCATCCTTCCAACAGCAAAGAGTGTCCTTTGGGTGGACCTCATGGCCTGTTCTACATGCCACATACAGCTCCGGCCAAGATTTTTCTTCACCTTCTCCCATTTGAAGCTCCGCCAGCACACGAAAAGGATGGTATAGCATCACCTTCGTTTGACAATACTCAGAGTACAGGGCATTCTCGGGGTCTGGTCAGAATCTTGGGAATGTGCGAACAACAACGTCTGTGTGTCGTCGCCGTGCATGCCACTCATTTTGACGCCAGGTGTACTTGCGAAAGACTTTGTGGATCAAAAGTTCTTCCAAGGCTGGCAATCACTGCATGTACCTAAAGACTGTCAACGCTGAGGATGTTGCTAGACAAGACATAGTACCTTTGCAGCCAAGAATCGCCAGTTACGGACATCTTCTTCTTCGAGCATCCGTAGGCCGCCCTCCTTGTCAAGGTATAACGTCTGAAACGTCACTGAAGTGCGAACCAGTGGGACTCCCAGCAAAAGATGAGCCATCTCCTGTGCCGAATATATACGTTCTCCGAGCATCTTATTTAGTAGCTTCTAGCATGCTGACTGGGCAGTACCAGACTCTCCCATTTGCTTCACAATGCTATCGAGCATCTCAGGAAATCCCGGAGCTTGTCGCTCCGCCTTCGTGGCGTATTTGGCAATATAGCTGTTAACAAGAGGTCAGTCTAGCTGCATTGGCATGACTGCCAGGGTTCTTCTTACCCATCGATCCTTGATTTAGGTGGTTTCACTCCTGTCTCCCTCTCAAGATGCTCTGCGTTTGACTCTGCCATTTGTTCTATCTTTTTTCTCACAGTTTCCGGCCGCAGCCCCGCAATGAAGTTGAGGGAAACCACTGGTAGCATAACTCGCAATGGTCTCCTGGTGATATTGGAGGAATCCTGAAGCGTAAAGTCTCAGTTCCTTGTCGATGAGCCTCCTCTTCAGCAACTTCCATCGAGCAAACTCAACACATCCCTCTCTGGAAGTCCCATCACAATGCTGTTACAGGAACAACTTGCAAATAGCGAATACAAGGTCTATTGTGGACGAGGGTGGGTTGATTGAGGAGTAGAGGAGGCGGAGGCGGAGGCGGAACGATACGGGACTGGAGTGGCATGGTGGTATTCACGAAGGACAGAAGGGATATGTGTATTTTGTGGCATTGGCACAATTGCACGTGACTGCGGTGGCAAGACGTGTTGTGAGGGGTGTCTTTAACCGTCTTCAATTATATAGGTACCACGATAAAACTTGACATGGATGAAGATCTACAGAGAAATACTATGTGTTCCAATTTCTGTGCAGATACACGCAGTAATGAAGGAGAACGAGATGATTCTTTTTTTTTTTTGTTCCTCATGCGCAGAATGTGGCTATGCAGTGTATTTCTCTCTCCATTTGGCCCCTCACGTGTTAGACAGGATTATGAGCGAAAGACACTATTAACACGTCAAAGTATCAAGCTACCAACATGAAAATATCTAACCATTAACTTCTATGTGATTTCAACACATTTGGATCCTGTTCTGTGCCCTCAAATGGAGAATATTGTGAGGTGTAAGGTTTGTCACTGACAGCTGTATTATATATCAGATAAAGTTGTAATCCTCCTAAAATTGCTTCTGAGACAGCTTTGTAGATATCAATATCTACATTTCTGTCAATCTCAGAGTGGAACTTTCTTAATAAACACCCCTTCGTCTTGGATGTAATTGCAGTAGAAGTTTGGGAGAGAATAAACTGAATAATCACTTTATCTGAAATATGCCAGCGACCCTTCAATTCCAGATTCATTAATGCAGGGTATATTATATTCTGATCAGAGGCCTTCAAAGTCAGATATGACAGGACATCTGGATAATCTGGATCTAGATCCTGTTCCTCATCACTATAAGCATCTAGAGCAGCCATTGGTTGATCATTAATCTGTAAATGAGTAAGCTGATAAAGTCCGCTTAGAACCTCCAGAAGGCCTTTAGAGTTGAACCAGAATCGTGAGATTTCCATCTTTTGCACATAGTTAAATTGCTTTGCAAGAGCTGTTGTGACAAGAGGATTGGATATTAACTAAAGGGTAGATAGGAAGGGGAAATCCAGGAGAGCTTCTGTTGCTAAGAAATCATCATTCCAATTAGCAGCCAAAAACTTGAAGGTATGGAGGTTTGGCAGGACAAGTCTTTGTGATGCTTTGCAGAGTTGTCCTTGACCAAGAGTAACTGAAAGCTGTTCTAGCAAGGTATAGGCATAGAGAAATGGGAAAGGAAATCCCACAATTGATGCAGCTGTGGGAAGGCCCATGTTTATATCCACTATAGTAAGCCCATGCCAATAGATAGATCGAGGGACTGTAGTGAATGGTCCCTGATATGAGAGCCACTTTAGATTGTTGGTACCTAGGAATTTCCATGGACTTATGTCAAGATTCTGATTTGTGGAGCCTTGAAGTTTGATTCCAGTTAGATTTGGGACACTCTGTGGGCTAAGAGAAGACTTGGAAAGCAACTTCATTTCATCAGCAGAGAGCTGAGGTAATTCAATTGTGTGCCAACGGTGAGCCACTGAGATCAACATCTCCAGATGAGAAGTAGAAAGTTCCATGTAGTGGGTTTGAAGCCTGGTAGCTGAAGATTTATGCACAGTAATATCAAGAGGAGTCTCAGCACCTCTCCCCAGCCATGCCTTGAACATTGTGAATGCTTCTTGGTTGTCCAACTTGAGTTGTGGTGCCTTACTCAAGGTGTTGTAGAGTTTTGGAACCACCAGGTGAATAGATGACCACAGCCGAGGTGTTGGCATAACTATCTCTCTCCAGTATCTGCATACTCCAGCAAGCAGCAGTGGACCTTCTTGGGCATCTATCACAGTGTTCCTGTGTTCAGGGAGGGTTTTTATGAAGATGATGCGCAGAACATCTTCCGGAATCTGGCGAACTGGTGACAGCAGTGCTTGATGGGCATCAATGAAGCGGCCCATCGAGTCCCGCTCTGCTATCGCACGATCAAGAATAGTCTGCAGCTGTTTCACCTCATCATTGAGGGATGCTAGTGTTATGTGATAAGCCTTGAGGAAGGTCCGAATGTGATCGCATTGAGCACCCGAGGGAGCAATATTGGTGCGGAGGATATCGGAGAAGGGAGATGTGAGCATGCTGAGATTGCAGGTGAAAGAGAGATGTTAAGAAGCAGCCCAGGCTTGCTGTTACTTATACTGAGTGGACTTCGCCGCCCGACTCCGCCCGAAGATTCAATCATGCCCAAGAAGCAGTGAGATCCGGAGGGAGGAAATTAGATCAACATGCTACGAGGGATGTGTATCCATGCGTCTAAAAGTAGCTGCTAGCAAGAAGGGTGACTGAGACATATTTCACCCTGCATTACAATTTACTCAGTCAACCACATTATTACTCCAACAAATAAGAACATCATTGTCTAAGACATTAGCCCCAAGGAAGCCTAAGTGATCTAACCTTCCGCCTCCATTGCCACTGCCACCGACGCCGAAATCTTCACCCGCTTTGCCTCGGGCCGCGCATCCGTTCCCGCAAGAGACAGCTCCTCTAGCCCCTCCTCCGCCCCTCTCTTCCCACGCATGCTCGCGCGCAGCCCCGGCGGCGGCGCGCGCAAATCGAGCTGCGGCACGCCGGGCCCCATCCACATCCCCGGCCGTGCGTCGATGGATATGGCGTGATTGTGGTAGGCGACCACTGCGTCTGCCCGCCGTCAGCCGTGGGTTGACTATAATGGGAAGGACAGGGGCTCACCGGTGTACTTATGCTTCTCCGCGTCCGCCGCGGGGACACAACTCTGGCTAGACTTGACCTGGCAGACGATGCAGCGCTGTGCCTGCCACAGTTCGCCCCCCGCGCGAGGCCTGCACGGCGGACAGATCGATGAACAGACACGGGATGCCCATCCCCACGCACTTCTTGCACGGCGCCTTGGAGAAGCCGGTTATCAGCACATCCCGGTTCAGGTAGACAGCTCACCTCTGGTACCCGCACACTCCCATACGACAAACACCGATTCTTCGGGCCGTTTATCGCCCCCCACGGGTTGTCCCCGCGGTCGCTCCTTGCCTGCGCTTTGGCCAGAACGCGCATGTTCCCGTCCGCGTAGACCTCCGACCAGCTGTCAAATCCCTCCGGCGGCGGCGGAATCGGCTGCTTCGCCGCTCTCTCCGCCCGCTCCTCGAGCACTTTGTCAAAGTCGAGTTCCGGCTCCTTTGGGCCCATCCACACGCCTGGACGGTGCCCCGTTTTAATCGCATAGTTGTGATACTTCGCGACGGCGTCTGATGTGGGTGAGAAGCAGAGTCAAAAGTAAATAAGGATTCGTGCGTACCCGCATACGCGTGCTTCGGCGCATTTGGCAGCCCTAGGCAACTTGTGCTCGACGCCATCGCTTGGCACAGGACACATCGCAGCGTAACACCGCCGCGTACCTCTTTGCTGATACGGAGACACGGTATGTCATGGAACACACAGTGGTTGCATGGGTTCTTCGAAAGTGAGTGCTGTGTGATCGCAATGAAAAGCAAAAACACTCACCGGCACGACTGTTACAGACCCATATGAGAACGCCGACGAAGATGACGTCCCGCCCGGGTTGTCGCCGCGATCGAGCCGTGCCTCCGCCTTGGCAAGCTCGAGCATGCTGCCCGTGCTGTAAACCTCCGTCCACGACGAGAACCCGGTTGGCGGCGAGGGCATAAGCGACGAGCGTGCGGCAGAGCTCGCGGCCTTCGGTGGGAGAGTGCGTGGAGAGTGGAATGTAGAAGGCGTAGTGACCTTGAAGGCTGAGGGCTTCTTTGGGGAGACAGTTTTGGGGGACATCGAGTGGGCGAGTTTCGGCGCGGGGTCCTTGGTGGTGACTTTGAAGGCGGGCTCCTTGGCAGAGACTTTGAAGGCGGGCTCCTTAGCAGAGACTTTGGGTGTGGGGTTTTTCGGGGGCGCTTTGGGGGGAAGAGATTTGGCGGTGAGAATTTTAGGGGTGGGGGCTTTGCTTGTCGCAAGGGATTTGGAAGTGGATTTCTTCGTTGCAGCTGAGGTTTTTGGAGGCGGGCGAGCAGTGGGTGCAGACCGCTGTGCCAAAGTCAGATTAGCTAGGCGGGTCACGGAGAAAATTGCTGCCACGTACAGTAATCTTTGCCGCTGTCTTCCTCCCTTCCTTCGCTGGCACCTCCTCGCGCACCTGCACAGCAACAGTCAGCCGCAGCGAGGAAGCAAAGCCACGGCCACACACCTGAGGCCCAGTCTCCACATGCATCTTCTCACGTTCACCGACCAGCACCGTTTCCCATTCCTTCAGTTCCTCGATCCGCGCCACCACGTCTGCGCCGGAAAACGGCTCCATCAAGCGTATCTGCACGTCAAAGTGTTTCTAGCAGAGCCTCTGTCAGCCCGAGCACACCGCCTACAGGACCACGCACCTGGGTCATGTCCGCCTGCTCCTCCATCTGGTTCTGTATTCCCGCGACGAGCACGAGTGGGTCCACGCTAAACGAGTCCAGGGTCTGTCAACGTCCGTCAGCGCCTCAAGTCGGCGAGTCATAGCCATGGCCACGCACATATCGAATCGCCTTGGTGTCTGCCTCGACCGCGTCGAGCTCCAGTCGTAGACGCGCAAGCGCCAGTATGACCTGGCAAAAGCGTGAGCACTCGAGCCCTTCATAACAGCGGGGGGACCCACCGCGGCGTCGTCCATGTCGCCGTCCATGTACGCTGGCAGCGTTGGCGTCGGGTGACGGGAAGAGGAAAGAAGCGGGGGGTGGCAGTGCCGTCACGACCGTGACATATCACATGATTGCTTTTGATGGCGCGGCACCTTAAGCTTTCGTGGGCTCCTCGTCTTCTGCACTGCTCATGACGAACCTGTTGGACTTTCAATCAAGAGAAAAGAAGAACAAAGAACAAAAAGTTGACCGAAAGAAAATTCGAAAAAGTGCCGATATATATTATAATATATAATATATTTGTATATCTATAGAACACTTGATTGAAATGGGATCGTAAACGCCTAGGACTGCAAGCGGCTGCAGCGTACGTAGTGTCGACATGGCTTTATGCAATGTTGCCAATCACATTAGGGCGCTGTTCTCTACTTGTTCTCTCTAATCAATCGATATCGGATCTACAATCCGTATCAGCCGAATCAGCGATCACCGCTGTCACGTCACACCGCTTCTTACCTCTTCCCCCCATGCTTGACGCGCTCCCGCCCGAGCTGCTCGCGGTGGTACTGGCGCACCTTCCCCCACGCACACTTCTGGCATGTCAACTCGTCGCACGACTATGGGATGGTGTGGTTCGGGGAACTCCTGAGCTGGTATACAGATTGGAGCTGTGGCGGGACGGACTGCTAGCTGGGACTGGCGGAGGGCGGACACCGGCAGCTTTGTTGGCGGAGCTGCTGCATCGCAGAAAGGCTTGGCGGGAGCTCACATGGAAGGAGAGACACGTGGTATGCATGGAGAGCCCAGAGCAATGCCGCGCTTATGAGCTGGGAGGGGGCGTGTTTTGCCTCCAGGAGACGACTGGCCGTTTCCAAGTCCTACGGCTGGGCAAAAATGATGCCGCTCTGGAGACAACCGAGCTGGGCATACCCATGACAGGATTCGAGGACTTCGCATTCGATGTTGGCCAGAACCTCCTCGCCGTTTTGGACGTGCCTCCAACTACCGACGTTGGTTCTGTCGTTTTCCGCTCGCTTCTGGATCCAACCACTCCCCATGCGGATGCTCGCCTTGGCAAGATTTCCTTTCCATGCCAACGCTCCGACGCGCTGTTTATGTCAATGCAAGTGCTCGACGATCTCGTTACCATATATCTCCACTCCGGCGCGCGCCTGCTCCTATTCGAATGGCGCACCGGTGAGTTCGCAGAGCTCAATTTCGGCAGCAGCCCGGTATACCGCCCGCTTGATGGTCTAGATTGCCATATGCTTGGCCCACGTTTGATGCTGGTGGCTTGTCGCAGGGGCCGCGACGGAGACGAGGAGACATGGAGTGGATGTCTCCAAGTACACTCCATCGACGAATTCCAGCCCTTAGTGGTGAAGCACGTTGCAACCCTCCATCTCCCGTTACTCTCCACCGGCAAATGTCAACTGTCCTCTGCAGCGATCCTTGTTGGCCCATATATCGCGCAGCCTGCTCCAGGCGCGGCGTTCTACCGTGCAAACGATCGTAGAATCGTCACGGTGGTGCTGCGGTACTCGCCGGGCGAGTGGGTGCGCCTTGTCATGCATATTCGCACTATTCACAGGCTGGTGGACGCGTGGAAGACAGACGGCCAAGTCCAGGAACTTGATTGGGACGACTGGGGTCCGCGTGAGACGAGAATGATCAAGGCTGGGAGCATGCAAAATTGGTGGCCACGGTGAGTCGGCTCTTTCGTCACATCTTAGCTTGTTTGTTTAATATATCACAGGCATATAAACGGTGAATGCATTGCGCTTCCAACACCGGCAGGTCGCGCGATGCGTCTTCTGGACTTCAACATCCCTGTGCATCACAACAATACCGTGACGCTCCCCGCAGTCAACGACGACCACGAAATCCCTGATCCTGGGAAGCTCCTGGACGTCATATCCGTGACGGAGCTCCCCGTCGTCGATCCGCCCACCTTCACCGCTGAAGCCCTACACACAGGCCCCAGTTGGTGCCAGGTTGGTATCCTGGTTACTGTACCCGGGGAGCAGGGCGGATACGATGAATCGGACTCGCAGTCAGCCGAGGACGAAAGTGACAGTGAGTTGTTTACTAGTGACGACGACCCGCTGCCACGGTCCTATCCCGCGCCGCCATCCTCCCCTAAGCCCCGAGACATCGTCACGGGCCTCTTCAGACAAGCGGTACACACGGAACTGCCGTATCGCGAAGTCGTCAGGACTCTCCGGCGGCGTTCGAATGGCGAACGTGATGACGCAATCGGTACTAACAGTGAGGATGAAGACGGGGAATCGCACTATGGATTGTTCATGCTGGACGAGCAGTGGGTGCTTGCGGCGGATGTGCAGGTGAGTAACACACTTAGACGGATGTTGTAACTCTAACGGGGCTAGCAGAACTCACATCCAGAGGTCGTTGCTCTGAGGATGGGGTGACAGCGGTTAAATAAACGATCTAGTTGACACGTGCGAAGCTCCAAACTTGCTCCGGGCGGCCGGTGTACGTCTCAAATGTAATCTAAGTCCAAGATGAGATCCTGGTTCACAATCTTCAAGTTCGAAATGAGCGAACATACCGGCGCAGCGCTACCATCTTGCGAGGCCCAAGCCGTGAGCGCATATCCTTGGCTGGCAAGACGAAGGCTGTAGTTTCCGAGTTTAGGCAGATGGAACATATCCGAATGAGGAGGACGCACGCGCCGGCTGTGGCATTGACACACTCCAGTTGAAACGCGCTTGAATAGGTTCCTGCGCTGGGCTGGGCGAACTGCGCGGACGCGTTGGTCGAGGCCCCGGGGTAGGTGAGGTAGACAGTGTCCTTTGCAGATGACGCGGGCTGAATGAAGATGTAGGAGTTGGCGGAGACGGGGATGGGTTGCCACTTCAATGTCATCAGGCTTAGGCCTGAAAGAGGGGACAGAAATCCGCACCTCCTCGTTGATGAGAGCAGGAGACAGCGTCTGTGTGTTAACCGTGTTGATTCCGGGAACCCGGTTGAGAATGAGACCTTGGAAGTTGACCAAGTAGAGGAGTGCAGCGGTGTAGCAGATTGGGGCCATTGTCGTTGATCCTCGTATAATTATTTTTTGAAGGTGAGAGCCCGGATATTTAAGCATTTTCAAATTGTTCGCAGATTGATGACCAGAGGAAGCGCGAGGGACGCAGTGTTCACTTTGAAGTTTGTGAACCTGAGTCTGGCAGCCGCTGTATTCGGGCCACATGGAAGCGTCACATCGTATGACAAGTTTGACCTAAGTAAAGCCCGGGCGGGCCGGGCCAGCTGGAGATTGGAATCACTTTGTACGAGCAGCGAATGCATTCAATACTAGGACGCAAGATGTCGCGTACGGATTCCATCCTCAAGACGTAGATTGTGCCATCCGTCATGGCGGTTACTTATCAGAAGGGTGCCACATCACGGGAACCGGGGAAACGATGACCATTGACCACCCGATCGATCGATAAGTGTGACCCGCCGCATCACGTCGAATGACGTGATTCTCCCACCGCTCACGGCTTGTCCGCAACCACCATGAAGCTTGCCGGGGACCCTCTTCGTCGAACCCAGCGCTATCACCCGTGGTCGACCCCGGCTTTGCTCATTGTAGCTCTGCTTCTCGTCCTCATATTCCGCCATTCTCCCTTACACCAGGTTCCCGTGAACGTTCCCGCTGAATGTACTGCGCTTTCCGCAACACCGACACCGCCAACGTCTCTCATTTCCTCCCGCCTATCCCCATCCTCGAATTCCGACCGCTCCGTCCCCGGAACGCGCCCCGTATTGATCCGCAATGCGAAGGTCCTTACTGGCGCGCGGAACGGTACTGAGGTCGTCTTTGGCGACTTGTTGCTTGCAGGTGGACTTGTGCGTGCGGTTGGATATGTGCCCCACGCGTTAGTAGATACTTTGGAGGCTTCCGTGGGACAAAACGCTCAAGTTATCGATGCGGAGGGCCGATGGGTTACCCCGGGGTTAGTGGATGCGCATTCGCACTTAGGCGTGTACGCTGCGCCAGCCTTAAACGGTGCGCCACTTTAATAATATTTGACTCAAAGAAAACTTCCGTATTGACTCTATCGGATAGGCGCTTCAGATGGTAACTCGCGAAAGGGTCCGATCCTGTCCCACTTACGCAGCATTGACGGGTTGAACACCCACGATGACGCCTTCCGACTTGCAGTTGCGGGCGGAGTGACGACGGCGCAGATTCTGCCGGGGAGTGCGAACAATATTGGTCAGTTGTCGGTCCCATCGAAAGATATAAGCACTACTCATTTGAATCCTGACTTGAAGGCGGCCAGGCATACCTCATCAAGCTTCGCCCCACCGCTGAAAGGTCGTCGTCATCGATGTTGCTCGAGCCTCCGACGCTCCTCCATCTTAACTCTTCTTCCACCGATAGGCGTCTGCGGTGGAGACACATGAAGTGCGTCTGCAGCGAGTTCCCACCCACCTATATTGACGTTTTCAGACATGCATGCGGGGAGAATCCATCTCGAACCTACGCTCAAACGCGAATGGACTCTGCTTGGGCCTTCCGGCAAGCCTATGCCTCCGCGCTGTCACTCAAACAGAAGCAAGATGCGTTCTGTGCTCGTGCTGCCTCTGGCACACTCACTCCTTTGGACCACGCCGCCGGCTTCCCACAAGACCTGAAGCTCGAGGCACTGGTTGACGTACTGCGCGGCCGGGTCAAGCTCAGCGTGCACTGCTACGAGGCGGTCGATCTCGATATGCTGATTAGGGTATTGTGCTTTCCTTCTCTTTGCTGCCGCTCACCATTTACTGTTCCTAGCTGAGCAGGGAATTCGAGTTTCCAATTGCGTCGATCCATCACGCAGGGGAGACTTACCTTGTCCCTGAACTGTTGAAGCGGGCATGGGTAAGCATCCACATTCGGCGTTTGCAAGCGGTTTGTCACATGCCAACCGAATGACCAGGGCGGGATTCCATCGATTGCACTCTTTGCATCAAATTTTCGGTGAGCTGTAAATTGGAGAAAGCCACACAGTTATAGGCTGATACATTTCTTAGCAAGAAACGCGAGGCGTACCGCGGTTCTGAGTTTGCGCCACGTATACTATCTGAGCATGAGCTTCCGGTCATTATGAAGGTACATTGTCGCCGCACCCATATGTTAGTATCAATCTCATTTGTCTTGTCAGTCAGATCATCCAGTCTTGAATTCGCGGTACCTGATGTACGAGGCACAACAAGCGCACTACCACGGGCTGCATCCCGCTCTGGCTATCGCTGCAGTTACTTCAACTCCAGCGGATGCACTTGGAGTAGGCTGGAGGGTAGGTAGGCTAGCCCCAGGTGCGTTCTCCCTCGGTGGCTAGTTCAAACATTGAGAATTCTTAATGGCCAGCACAGGTTACGATGCGGATGTCGTCATCTGGGACTCACACCCACTTGCTCTTGGTGCAACCCCGGCGCAGGTATATATCGACGGTGTCGCACAGCTGCAAAAGCCACTCTTGCCGAAGAAACCTGAACTATTCCAGCAAGTTCCGATGGTGCCTGACTGGACGAAGGAGATAAAACAGGTCCTGAAATGGGAAGGACTGCCGCCATTAACCCCAAAGGAAATACAATGCGGGACAGTGATATTCAAGGGAGTCTCCGGTGTTTGGATGCAGACGGGTGGCGAAATCATAGCGGTTCACAACAAAGCGTCCACCGGAAACATTACAGTGGTAGTGAATGGCGGACATGTCATCTGCTCATCAACATCTGCGGGTGATTGCGCCGGATTCTTTGCCACCAGTGATCAAACAATCGACCTCGCTGGTGGCGTATTATTCCCAGGTTTGACTACGTTCGGCTCCGCTCTGGGTTTGAGTGAAATTTTGCTCGAGTCGTCGACCAATGACGGCTATGTCATGGATCCGCTAATTAACGGCGCAAGTCCAGTGACCCACTTCTTGAAGGGAACGATGATAAGGGCAGCAGATGGGCTGCAGTTTGGCGGGCGGAACACTTTGTGAGTTGTTTGCCTCTTTCTCCCTTCCTCTATTGAGCAGACCTTGCAGACATGCCTATCGGGCGGGTGTCACGACGGCAATTGTCGCTCCTGTAGGCTCTGGGTTCTTACAGGGCGTTGGGACGGCTTTTAGCACCATCTCGGCAAATGCCCTCGAGAGGCATGCTATAATTCAACGGGAAACTGCAGTCCACATCAGCCTCGGAATGGGTATTGCTGGAGCAAGCGTCAGCTCTCAAATCGCTGCTCTCCGCCGGCTTCTGCTTGCCTATCCGTCAGACAGCGACGAGGACGCATTGTGGACGTGTGTGCGGGATGGCTCCATCCCGCTCGTCGTGCGTGTTGATAATGCTGATATTATGGCGACGCTGCTGACGCTCAAGTCCGAATTTGAGTCCGTCAGCGGCAGGCGGCTGAAGTTGACTTTCACGGATGCGGCCGAAGCGCACCTGCTCGCGCGGGACATCGCTGAGGCGGGTGTAAGTGTGATACTGAGCCCGGCACGGCCCTATCCCGCGACATGGGACTCGCGAAGAATGTGCGTTTCAACTCCTTCTCTGCGACCAGGTAATTGACGTCGGTCTGTCCAGTCTCCCGGGCCCTCCCCTGACCGCCAACACTGCACTGATGAAGCTTCTGGCGCATGGAGTCAATGTCGGGCTTGGGGTCCCAGCCGACTATGATGCAAAAAACGCGCGATTCGAGATGGCCTGGGTGCGTGTTGAACTGTTATGCTTCTGCGTTCCACACACTAAAATGTGTGGTTTACAGGCCACCTCAGGCTACCCCTACCTGGTACCTGTTAGGCTTTATCGGACCCGCGGAACCCTGGGCCTAAGAGGTACCAAATCCATGGTATCACCCATGGGCATGGTACTATCCACAAATTGTGGATGGTACCATGGGTGTCACACAACCCATGACCATGGTACCATCTATGCAGCCTTGGGTGCATCCATGGCTGTGTGGATGGTACCATGGTGCTTTGCCTGATTTGGGTGGCTGGGTGAATGGCTTGTAGCTCGCTCAAAACTGACTCAAAAAATAAGCGCTTTGGTGCAGCCGGTAGGTCTCCTCTTGGGCTGTTTGATCCAATCATCTAGTGACGGGAAAGTCGCTGGTTCGACTGGAGCATGGCTTTTTGCATTTTTTGGCAAAATACCCTTGCCATGCTCTTGCCTTGGCTTTTGGGTTGTCTGCTTAGCACTAGAAAAATGAGATAGTTTTGCTCTTCAAGACAGGCCAAGTCTCATGAGATTTGCTGGGCAGACTATGGAGTTTTGAATATTTTTTCATTTTTCTAGCTTTTAATTAGTTGGCAGTTCAGGCATGATAGATGGGCAGTAGGCAGCCTAAAGTACATGGAAAGTGATGTACAGTATGTGTAGAGTATGGACTACATGCCCCCCCACCCAGTTGGCCATGCTCCCACCCCTTGGACTTTGCAGT